GCTTCTACTTAGTGGCTTACAGACTGCAGCCTGAACTCTTCTACTGGATGAACCTTATATTGTTTCTGTGTTTATATTTTATGCTGCCGTTTCGTTCAACACACCTTTAATCAAGTCTCCGATCTGATAGTAGGACAGAGGATCATCATGGCTGCTGGTGGAGGGAATTTCCTTGACATGGCAGAGAGCCTGAGAGCACAAGCAACAGAAAATAGACAAAACAATAACTGGACATCATAAACATGGCTGAGCATCATGTATTTATTTTAAATAGTGTTTTTAATACACCAGTAACAGTGAAATGTGCATTCCAACTTCCAGTTAAAATAGTCTAGTTGTTCGGTTTCCTCGTAAAGCAGCTTCGCTTCATGCGATTCCTCTATGAAGGCTGTTTTATAGAGAATATTGTAAAAACATTGGAATTAAAACTAAAGGCTAAATTAATGTTGTGATTCTAGAGGTTCACATTGAGCCTGCAGTGAGCGCATGCATCTGTGTGAACAAAGAATAATGTATGTTATATTTGTGCGCTGCAGTCCGGTTACGTTACATTGTGACATTCATGGAACAACAGTCATCTGACTTTCTGAACTGCTTGACTTCACAAACTGCACATGACAGAAACAGGATCTTTGGCAACAAATACATTCCTCTTGTGGGCTGGAATAAAGTATCATTCATACCTGCTGGCAGCCATTCAACAATTCAAGAGCTGCTGCACACATGAAAGCCGGGAAACTGACAAATCAGGATTTCCATAAGTTTACTGTGCTGACTCACAGAAAGTTCCAGGTCCTCTATGTCTCTCTTCAGGCCTCCTGCCATGCACAGTAGCGTGAGAAAGAAGCCGTATTCCCGAATGTTGTTGATGCGTCCCACCACGATGTCTCCTCTCTCCAAGTCCCTGTACATCATGGATCTTCTCTCCTCATACGGCAGCTCCATGAATAACTCCACGGGCGGCATGATGGCATAAGGCTCTGCAGCAGAACACACACATTTACAGAATTGCTAAATGAACTCATAAACTAAGCTTTGCTTTCTATTTGTTTCATATTCATTCATTTTGTTCTGAATCTTGGTTTGTAATCTTTTTGTAGATAAAACTCAATAATAAAGTTCATTATTCACGTCTGGTTTTCTAACCGTAAAACCAGACACAGATTTAAAAAGAAGCAGGTTTAGTTTGGTGAGGTTTGGTTTCAAAATAACTAAAACTTACCAAGTAATTTTGGTCTAGTTTCTAGTGTAATCTTCAAATAAGGCAAAACTAATTCAAAAGTAACTTTTCAGCAAGAAATGTAGCCTTGTTTTAAGTAAATAATTCCTTAATTTTGATTAAAAAGTTATATTTCCACTGGCAGAGCATTTCATTTTTAACATTTTCCCATAACTGAATTCATCTGCCAATGGAACTAAAACTTTTCATCAACATTAGCATAAAAACAAAGTTTTGCACACATCCGCATTGGAAATGCAGCAACAGTCTGCAGTCAGAGGCCTCTTCAGACTGACTGCAAGACTGACTGCTACTGCAGATCCTTCCTGCCCACAACATGAGAAACCACTACGACTCCTTGAAGATGCTTAGATGATCTGAGTTACAACATTTAATTTTTCTTTGGACTAAGTATTATTGAACTGAATTTCTAAAACCTGGTCTGCGCTTTAAAAGAAGCTTCTAATTTGAGTGGATCTACACACACCTCCGTCCTCCTCCTCTTCGTCGTCCTGCGGTGGCGGGTTGGCGGTCTTCCACGCCGGGCAGAAGAGGATGTCAGCCTTCCTGGCGATGAACTGCTCCACCAGTGGACTGGCATGTTCATCACCTCTGCTTCACACACAACAATTAAACATCTAATTAGCAGCTTTCCCATAAAACCCAGTAAGTTGAGTTTGGCACACAGAACAGTTTGAAAACTTTACTATGCTGCTCTGTATAATGACAGAGATAAAGTTAAGAATGAAGAATGAGAGAAAGTTAAAAAAAATCTCATTTAACAAAAAAAAAAAGCTTTTCAAATGCAAAACTTTATATTAATATCTCATGTCAGGCAGCTGCATTGATGTTTGCAGGAAGGCATAGATTGACACTGCGACCTTGTGACCCTGCATTGGCAAAGACACAAACCATGAAACCAGAACATGCAAACTAACTTTGTAGCTCCTAACAGGAAATAAATGAAATAAACATGTAGTTGGGATGTATTAAGCACGTTTGTTCAATATTTAAGATTATCAAACACTTTTAAATGAACTAAGTGTAAATTGTTCTGTTTCACAGCCTCATTTCCATATTATTTCACAAACAATTAGTATTTTATTGTTTGTAATGGAAAAATAGATATTTGGATCCATCCAAGACCACTGTGGGTGGGTAGTTTATCACATTGTTTATCATTTATAGTGAAAAGTTAAAGAATTTTGATTTATCTGAAAAACAAAACTGACAGTATTATGGAAAAAAGTTATTTTGACTCACTTTTTGCTCCATGAGAACATCAATAAATTTGACAGTATGATTAAATGCATTTACTGTGCGGAGGTTAGTGATACAAATCAAGCTTTCTTAAGTAAGTAGTGTTCTGAAGAAACCTATTTCAAATGGGAATGTTTTTATAATAAATGTATTTGAGTTTGTGATGAATGACTGCTGTGCAATGCAATCACAGCCACAGTTACCTAAAAAAGAACTGAGTTTTTGAGTTATTCTGATATCATGTTTATCGATATCAGAATACTATAACAAAATATCGCGATAAAATTCTAACTCCTTATCGCCCACCGCTAGCAACATGTTTTTAAAAATGGTCCGAAGGCTTTGAAATAGCCGTTCCTGGAAAGACAATTAAGACTGTGAATCCCGTGAGGCATGTGACTAAAATGTGATAAATTACGTGCACGAATAATTTTAAATTCAGGTGTAAAGTCGAAGAAAAACAGGAGTCCGACATGCTGCCATACCTTCCGTCATACGTGGCTTTGCACAGGTCAGTCACCACCGCCTGGAAGTCTGGGTTTTCAGTTTGCTCACATTTCAGTTTGTTGAACAGCGTCTCTCCGTGATGGACCAGACACTGCCGCAACAAGTCCCTGTCCATCCTCTGTTCCTCTCACCACACGCCGTCACATTTTTCACAAAACAAACACTCCAGACGACGGTTATCACTAACCGTATGAGCTTAAAAACGTCTAAGAGAGGTAATCGTTCATAAACATAAGTAACATTAAGTCGAAAACAGACGGGATTGTTTGTAATTTAAGCTTTAGCGTTGTTTGGAGCAGTTGAGGCTAACAACCAAAAATGCTAATACACGCAATAAGCAGACAGTGTTATTTAAAACCCTTGAAACGACACACAATGCTTCCAAATATAGATAAAAATGTATATAATATTCATTTAACCCATACAATCCAGACCATTTGCTACATTTAGAAATAAAAGTAAGCTCAAATACTGTAAATTGAAACCGTAGCTGTTAGCTCCGGATCATCGCGCATGCTCACATTGTGTTACACTGAAATGAGCAGACAGAAACAAGTTGTGGCTAGGAACCATAGTGACGGTCAAATTTTGACTTCTTATCGTCATTTTTGAATCCCTCAAAGTGTTACTTTAACTTATGTGAGAATATTATGTGTTTTATAATTTTTTTGGCTAACAATTTTGTCAAGAGTGTTCTGCAATAAACCAGAATGTTTAGAATAGAATAGAATAGAATAGAATAGAATAGAATAGAATAGAATAGAATATACTTTATTGATCCCAAAGGGTAAATTGCTTATTTGTTGAAATCTACTCCACCTTTGGTAATAAATACAAAGTATACAGAAGTTCTAAACACTTCAGATGTATGTTTTTAAATATTTTTTTCTTAATTAAATTGTTAATTAATGTCATCTCCAATGCTGGAGATGCCATTTGTTGTATAATCTAATATGTAAAAAATATGTAAAATGCTAATAAAAACAACAGATTGCTCAAAACACCAATAGATCACATGCATATTTTGGTATTTTGTGTGATAGATAAGAAAAGAACTTAAAAGAACTGACATTAACAGCGTACATACAAAACCTGTTTGACAGCCTCACTACAGATTTCCTGTAAAAGCAAACAAAAAGTAATGGTACCGTCAAAGGGAAAAACTTTTGAAGGTTTCAACATCTGAGGGAATCAGATAATCAACAGCGTGATATTTAGAAAACTTGAATAAAAAAATAAATGACAGTGGCTATATGCAACCACACTTCTGTTCATCATAAAATGTTGGTTTTTATTATCTTTTAAAACAATTACCAGGTGAGTATTGATGTTTATTTATATGGGGCTGCCCTTTCACTAGTAAATATTTTTTCTAAACCTGTTATTAACTTTTAATAACATTTTCATGATCTTAATGAAATAAAACTTTTATGGCTGAACTTTTTTTTATAGTTATTTTATTTTACACCTAACCCTACATATATACTGTGGTTATTCAGCTGTTGAGGTTATGGAAACTAAAAGTAATGTATTGGGCTGACAATCAATTCATCTATTAGTATTTATAGACAAAGCAATACTTTGTCTATTGTTTTGTCTATAAACAAAATAGACAAAATAATACTCAGAATGTTTAGGTAGCTGAACACCACCGTTCTTTACTGTGCAGTAAAAGGTTATTCATTTCGGATTAAGTTGTTAATTTACAGATCTGATCTACTGAGTTGGTCAACGAATAATTCAAACAATAGAATATATCATTTAAAAAAGCATCAGTTTTGTTTTTTTTAGAAAAATATCCAGATTTACTGGAATAATTTCAGTTTATCCTGCATATTTTTTGGTGAATTTCTGTTTTTGGTTTATTTTGTCTTTATCTAAAATATAAACATCACTTAGCTGTGTTACTCATAATAATACAACACTCAGTAATGACATGTCGCTCCCTCTTTATTGCTGTGGGAGGAGCATTACACAACCTTAACCACATGCACCAACAGAGATTATCTGTCTGTGCAGAACAGTGTAAAGGACAACACTCTACACCATGGATCATAAAATCATCATCTTCTTATGTTTTCTTGGATACATTCATGTGTCTTCAGGACAGGGTAAATATTCACAATAAATTCTATAATTGTTCTTGATTTTTCTAAGTAAGGATCATGTGAGATATTATTATAAGAGAAGGTAATGTGACAAATAAATGCTATAAATGAAATGCTAGGAAATATGTTTAGTTGTGTCTGTATTCGAGGTTTCACTGCCAGGGCCGGCCACAGCCATTTAGACACCCTAAACACAAATTCTTTGTGGCCCCCTTTACACCTCACATTAGCAATCATTCTGAATTTCTGACCGTTTTTCCCATAATTAAATGGTGCGAAGTTACAGGTTTACAAAGAAATAAGATTTTAAGTGGGATTAAAATGAGGAAACAAAATACAATGAATGAAATGTAACAAGGCGGAGAGCAAAACAGAACTAGAACTCATCCTATATACAGTGTTATTTCAAATATGTTTAAATATTACTCAAAGACAACACAAGTAAACACAAAATTCAAATTGTAAAGTAGGTGTCTAGTGTTAAGCTAGAAAAAAATCCAAACCTGCGTGGCCCTGTGTGAAAAGTGATTTCCTCCAGACTCCAACTGGTTGGACCAGCTTTCATGCCAGCAACTTCCGTCAAGCGGGTGCGATGAGTAGTACAGTTTCTTTTCCAGACAAAATAAACAAAGGATATTATACCCAGTTTTAGTTATGAATGCTAAATATAGTTCGTTAGTTAGACGTTTCCCCCATTATTTACTATTTTTATTGATTTCAGTCAACAAAAATGGTTTCTCAATTTCAGTTTCTGTTATTTTGTTTTAGTTAATTATAGTAACCTTAGTCAGTCCACAGTTTTCCCAGAAGTCACTGGGATCATTAAGATGTGTTCTGGAAAACTGAGATGAGCACTGATGCTCTTTTTGTTCAGCAGTGGTTTTCAGCTTAGAGCTTTGTTATGGCGGAGGCAGAAACTCTGACCTTAGCTGACGTTGTGAGGTGTTTGGTGACCTCTTGGACCAATCGTTGGTCAGCCACTCCTGCAAAGGTTCACCACTGTGCCATGTTTCCTCCATGTGTGGCTTTAGAAATGGTTTGGCAACGCGGTACAAAACCAGATGATTGCTCTCAATTACTTTTTGCCCCTTTTATTCCTGATTTTTTTGGATCTTGTCAAAATGTCTAGCTTTTGAGAATCTAAAAGCTAGTGAAGTGAAGTCAGACCTCCTTGACTTCACTTCGTCAGGGAGGTCTTATTGTTGTTATACGTTTTAATTGAGAACAGGTGTGGCAGGAATCAGGTCTGGCTCTGGCTAGAGACGTTGAAATCAGGTGTTAAGTAACTTTTTTTAACTGGGCAATCACGTTTTCCCACAGGAACATTCATTTAAAAACAGAATTTTGTGTTTACTTGTGCTTCCTTTGACTTTTCTCCCTCACTGTGTATTATGTCAGTCAAACAAACAACACCTATGAATGCTGAATAGTCATCCCTTCTAAAACTAATAGTATTTGTTTGTTGAACTCACTCTTAAAATCTGACAATTATATGCATTTCTTTTTCATTCTTTCCTGAAAATGTCTCCCAGATTAAGGAATTCCTGTCCAGTAGCCCAGACCTCAGCTCTCAGTGAATACTGTGCACAGCTTTAGCCAAAGGGCGTTTATGTTTGCTCTAAATAAGTTTATATGTTGCTTTTGTACAATGTTGTGAACAAATTAGAATTGCAAAATGCATATGCAGTAAAAATGTGAAGCATCACATCCAATGTCTGGTACTAATTTAGCTCAGGTAGAGTAACTATTTCAAATGGCTGTGTAAATGGTGTATGTCTTGAGCATTTTCAGGCAGCGTCACCAAATCTTACTTTATTGCAGTATAAAACACTTCCAGAGAGAACTATAATGAAAACATGGCAGATTCATTTGACTAACTTGTACATAAACATGGTGTCAGGACTTTTCATGTTGATGACACTGACATGAATGCTTGGTATTTATGGAATGAGCTGTCCATTTTGAAGAAGTGACTCACATTTGCAGGTTATCAACCAGGTTTCATTTAACACATTATTTGCAGTGCCATTTAACACAATATATTTTTGCTAATACAATTAATCTACAATTGCAGGATCTACAACTATATTGCCAATGACAACAACTGCCCCAACATCGGCTTCCCAAAATACTACATTGCCAACAACAACTGCAGCCTCAACAACTACTGACCAAACTACAACTGTAGGTTCAATGACTCCAGCCACAACTACAACTGTGGCACCATCAACAGCTATAGACCCAACAACAACTCCAACAACACCATCAGCCCAAACGACATCAGATCCAGGGCTTCCAACTGCTGCCCCAACAACGACAACACCATCAGCCCAAACGACATCAGATCCAGGGCTTCCA